TGATGAGAGTTAAGAGCATATATGTTTACTAAGGTATAGGGTTTGTTGATATCACATACAAGAAATATGTATCTGCTTTCTAATTCAATGGTCAAAGAGTGTAAGTTAAATGACACAGTATTTTTAATTGTGAGAAGTACATCCCTCTTCTTAGAAGAAAAAATGGACTGAAATATGCGGGGAAGTCTTTGTGACTGCATTTAGGTACAGCAGCAGACTGGAAATGGGTTTCCTGTACAGCCAGAACATCTTCATGGAGGAATTGGGCTTCTTTCCAAAGGGAGAATCTTTTTTCTGGGTGGTTAAAGACTTGAGCATTAATTGACATTAATTTGAGTGTCATGGTGATAAATATAGCATAAATATAGATTAGACTCACATACAGTCTTGATGAGAGAAAAACTTGGACAGAAGTGCAGTTGTAGTAAGGCTGAAGCTCGGCATAGTAGGTTACAGATGGATATCCAGGTGGAGATGTTAATGGTGTTTGGACGGGATACCATTGTTGCAAGGCTAGTGCTGAGGAAAAAATAAAATAGAATTGTCAAACTGGTTTGAAAATGTAGAATGTAGCAAAGAATGAACAAGGGGTCCGTAGGACTGCTTCCATAATAGAAAGGTAAAAAGGTTTCTAAATCAAACCAAGCACAGTCATTCTGCAACATCGAGAGGGGATAGACATTGATCTACATTGTTACAGCTGCAAAAGCCAGGGAACCTGTGGATATGGAGTTATTATAGGAAGAAGAGTCATGTTCCAGAGCCCCCATGGATGTTTTTCTTGCTAAGCCTCTTGTGTGAAACAACTTGCCAACCTGAGCAGAGTGCAGCAGGTTTAGTGGTGGCTGTTTATGTGAGTGGTGGGACAGTAGGTAGTATGTCCCATGTGCGGAGCAGCTCGAGGCCATCTTCCACATTAGTGACCACAGAGGCAGAGCCTTCACGAGTAATGAGCAGTGTAGCTGTATATATTTGTAACTGATAGAATGATTACGTAGTGCCTTAGTAATGGTGTCTAGATTCTTGCAGTGGCGGAGTGTATGAGCAGATAGATCTGGGAGAACTAACAGATTTGCGGCCTGTTTTGGGAGGTTATCTTTCTTACACAATGTTTCCAGAATCTTTTCTTTTGTTTGAAAGCGGTGGACTCTTAGAAGGACGTCTCTACGCACATTTGAGGGGACAAAGGATGGTTTAGGTATCCAGTGTACCCTGTCAATTGTAAGGTCCGTAGAGGTGAGTGATGGTATTGCAGCTTGGAAGAGGTTGCGGACAAAATGTGGCAATTGTGAGGGTTGCATTATTTTAGGGATTCCACTGATCTTGAGATTTTTACAATGGGATCTGGCTTCCAGGTCAGCAAGTTTTTGTAAAATACGTTTATCCCAATTACCACCTCTGAGATCTCTGGAGATTACTTCCAAAACAGTAAATGAGACCCATGTGGTATTGAATCTGTAATATAGATCAAGATGTCTGCTCACTGGTGTCACCATTTTGCCATTGGCCGAATAGTAAATGTGATCATTACATCTTTGTCTCAACTTTTTGATTTTGAGTTCTTCCTACATAAATTGCCCCACATTTACAGGTCATTAAGTAAACAACCCCTTCTGTGTTACAGTCGACATAAAATTTAGTGCAAAATACTTCCCCATTTGGCAACAGAAGTGACGTACCAGAATTAATGCAGGGGCAGAAATTACAGTTATTACACCTGTACATTCCCTTAATTGTGGCTGCAGGTTTAGCGGAAGGCACATAGTGGTTGTGAGCCAATTTGTCACGAAGGGATGCAAACTTCTTAAACACTATTTCAGGTTTCCTTCAATATACACTGCTGAAAACAAAATTTAAGTTTTTAATCAGAGTATAGCATCAGGTCAATTAAAATCTTGGGATATTGATCATGCCAGTAAAGTAGCAGAGGGGGTTGTTGATCAGTTTCAGCTGCTTTGGTGTTAATGAAATTAACAACAGGTGCACTAGATGGGCAACAATGAGACTACTCCCAAAACAGGAATGTTTTTACAGTTGGAGGCCACTGACATTTTTTCCCTACTCATCTTTTCTGACTGTTTTTCGCTAGTTTTGCATTTGTCTAGGGTCAGTGTCACTACTGGTAGCATGAGGCAATACCTGGACCCTACAGAGGTAGTCCAACTCCTCCAGGACGGCAGATCAATACATGCCATTGCCAGAAGGTTTACTGTGTCTACCAACACAGTCTCAAGAGCATGGAGGAGATTCCAGGAGACAGGCAGTTATTCTAGGACAGCTGGACGGGGCCGAAGAAGGTCTTTGACCCATCAGCAGGACCGGTATCTGCTCCTTTGTGTGAAGAGGAACAAGATGAGCACTGCTAGAGCCCTACAAAATGACCTCCAGCAGGCCACTGGTGTGAATGTCTCTGACCAAACAATCAGAAACAGGCTTCATGAGGGTGGCCTGAGGGCCTGACATCCTCTAGTGGGCCCTGTGCTCACTGCCCGGAACCATAGAGCTCCATTGGCATTTGCCGTTAAACACCAGAATTGGCAGGTCCACCACTGGCTCCCTGTGTCTTTCACAGACGAGAGCAGGTTCAGTACATTTGACAGACGTGAAAGGGTCTGGAGAAGCCGTGGAAAATGTTATGCTATCTGTAACATCATTCAGCATGATGATTTTGGTGCTGGGTCAGTGATGGTCTGGGGAGGCATATCCATGGAGGGATGCACAGACCTCTACAGGCTAGACAATGGCACCCTGACTGCCATTAGGTATCGGGATGAAATCCTTGGACTCATTGTCAGACCCTATGTTGGTGCAATGGGTCCTGGGTTCCTCCTGGTGCACGGCAATACCTGTTCTCATGTGGTGAGAGTTTGCAGGCAGTTCCTGGAGAATGAAGGAATTGATACCATTAAATGGCCCCAATGCTCGCCTAACCTAAATCCAATAGAACACCTCTGGGATATCATGTGTCTGTCCATCCGACACCACCAGGTTACACCTCAGACTGTCCAGAAGCTCAGTGATGCCTTGGTCCAGATCTGGCAGGAAGTACCCCAGGACACCATCCGTTGTCTCATTAGGAGCAACACATTACCCAGTCCATATTCAGCATAGATATCCAACATGATATATTTCCCCATTGAGATCTGATGTGTTTTCAAAGTGTTCCTTTAATTTTTTTGAGCAGTGTATTTATTGAGGATAGGATCCTCCAAGAGCAGGTGCCAGTGATTTAGTAAAACTCCTTTTAGGGCATTGTGTTGTAGCAAAAAACCTGTATTCTAAGATCCATCTGCGATAATTGTGCGTAGAGATACGGACGCTGACAATCATATTTGTATCATACCCTACAAATATAATGCTCTGTTGTAAGCCTTACATAGAAGTAACTTAGTGTACCCTCTTAGCAGTAGTCAGTGAAGTTGGTCAGCTTAAAATTTAAAATCACAGTAATGAGTACAGTTCTAGCTCAATCGAACATATTGTGTATAAGGAATACTCCACACAAGTGCGGAGGGGGTAGGCACTCATGGCATGTAAAATAGTATTACCTGCCGCACTTTTCCGATACAAACTTGACACTAAATGGTCATTTTGGTGTTTGCACACTTGCCAAGTCCAAAAAAGGTAATGGTGTCACTGTCAGGAATGGACTTGCCAATAATGGTGGGACTCACCTGCCTTGTGGGCTGCAGTACCAGGGCTGGCCAGCGGGTACTCTCAGCAATCAGAGACTCAACCCTGCAGTCAGCCAAACACCCGAAGCGGATTACGGAGGTGTATTTAAGGGATGGCCAGACCTGTAGTCTGTGCCTTGGTGTGTGTTTTCCCATGGGCCCCTGTACCTTGTAACCTGCATTCCTGTTCCTGTTCCTGTTCCTGTTCGACTTGTTGCCGACCCTGCCTGATCCTGACCTCTGCTGACTTCTCCTGTTTGATTCCTGGCTTGTGACCCTGACCATTCTCTCCGCCTGCTGCTCCTGTACCTACCTGCCCAATAGTTATCGACCCGGACTGCATGACTACGTTGTGCTCTATATGTGTATGTACCTGTGTATCTTTATCAGTTTAGGTTTGGGGTTGTTTCACCTTGTTGTACGTATTTTTGTTAGCTTGGGGTTTGGTGCACTGCGTTTATGTTTGTATTGTTAGTCTTAATAAATTGTCTTATTTATACCATATCTGAAGCTTGCGTTTCCCTGTGTCAGTCCACACACTTCTGGTCACACCTGCATCCCTGATATTACACCAAGGCCAAAAACCTGACCAGAAGTGGCTGCACAGGGAGGCCATCTTGGCTTATTGTTGCTGGGAAGGATGGATCTTGATGAGGTGGTGTATTTATCTTAGCTAGTGTTTGATGACAAAGACTATGCTTATCAGACTCTTAAGGAGTATACCCAGGATCAACTGCTAGAGTGTATAAGGATTGCTCATTGTCTAGTTGATCAGGGCACAGAGTTTTCTGAGGTGCAGCCATTGATCCAGGTTTGTGCTGAGTTGGCTCGGTCCTGTACCCCTGAAAGCAGGGATAACTTTTTTCCCCCATTTAGTGTGGATCAAGTGGAATCACTGGTATGGTTGTTGGAGGATGATCCAGATTGTTTCCATGAGCACTATGCAGCATGTCCATCACATGTGCTTATGGATTGCATAAACGCAGTGCAGTCTTTGATCAGACAGGCTAGGTGTAAGCTGAGTTTTTGTTAAACCAGTACTGCAGACATGGACAGATTTGTTACACCCAGCCTCAGTTGGCTTGCAACATCATTCCTCTGCTCAAGGCACTCTTCCTGCATCCCCGACCGCACCCCCAGTGATGGCCCAGTATACTCTGCTAACTACCACATACCAGTCCCCTGCTCCCACTCGCTGCACCTATCCTTTCTTCAACCCTGTAAAGAAGACCTCTGTAGCAACTGCTCCCTCCTCTGTTCCATCCTCCAGCTCTTCTGTCTCCAGCTGCTCCATCCGTTTACAAACCTGCGCTTACTTACAGTGCTCCGGTAACTAAAACCAGGAAAAGGTGAAAGTTCTTTCCAACCAATACCATCCTGCCAGTATCCAAACCAGTCAGCCTCCCATCTGAGAACCTGCCTTCCGTGGTGCAGCGTGGTGCCTCGGCGCCCACAATTCAGCCTGATGTCTCTACCCAGCCTGATGTCTCTACCCAGCCTGATGTCTGTACCCAGCCTGATGAACTGATCCAGCCTGATGATCCTATCACGCCTGATGACCCAGTGCCCGCTGTCATACCTGGTGACCCAATGCCCGCTGTCGAGCCAGACGATCCAATGCCTGATGACCCAGTGCCTGCTGTCATGCCTGGTGACCCGATGCCCGCTGTCGAGCCAGACGATCCAATGCCTGATGACCCAGTGCCCGCTGTCATGCCTGGTGACCCGATGCCCGCTGTCGAGCCAGACGATCCAATGCCTGATGACCCAGTGCCCACTGTCATGCCTGGTGACCCGATGCCCGCTGTCGAGCCAGATGATCCAATGCCTGATGACCCAGTGCCCGCTGTCATGCCTGTGACCCATGCCCGCTGTCGAGCCAGACAATCCAACGAGATGACCCGGTGCCCGCTGTCGAGCCAGACGATCCGGTACCATGATGCCCGCTGTCATGCCTGGTGACCCGATGCCCGCTGTCGAGCCCGACTGATCAATGCCTGATGACCCAGTGCCCGCTGTCATGCCTGGTAACCCGATGCCCGCTGTTGAGCCAGACGATCCAGCGCCAGATGACCCGGTGCCTGCTGTCGAGCCAGACGATCCGGTACCTGATGACCCGGTGCCCGCTGTTGTGCCAATTGACTCAGAGCCCACTGTCGTGCCTGGTGACTCGGTGCCCACTGCCTTGCCAGATGACGTGGTGCCCGCTGTCGAGCCAAATGACCTGATGCCTGGTGACCCGATGCCCGCTGTCGTGCCTGATGACCCGGTGCCCGCCGCTCCGCCTGGGGGCACAGTGCCTGCCGCCCCGCCTGGGGGCCCGATGCCTGTCGCTCCGCCTGGGGGCCCAGTGCCTGCCGCCCCTCCTGGGGGCCTGGCGCCCGCCGCCCCTCCTGGGGGTCCGGTGCCCGCCGCTCCGCCTGAGGGCCCGGCGCCTGCCGCTCCGCCTGGGGGCCCGGCGCCTGTCGCTCCGCCTGGGGGCCCATTGCCTGTCGCTCCGCCTGGAGGCCCAGTGCCTGCCACCCCTCCTGGGGGCCCGGCGCCCGCCGCCCCTCCTGGGGGTCCGGCGCCCGCCGCTCCGCCTGAGGGCCCGGCGCCTGCCGCTCCGCCTGGGGGCCCGGTGCCTGTCGCTCCGCCTGGAGGCCCGGTGCCTGCCGCCCCGCCTGGGGGCCCGGTGCCCGCCGCTCCACCTGGGGGCCCGGTGCCTGCCGCTCCACCTGGGGGCCCGGTGCCAGCCGCCCCTCCTGGGGGCCCAGTGCCCGCCGCTCCACCTGGGGGCCCGGTGTCTGCTGCTCCGTCTGGGGGCCCGGTGCCTGCTGCCCCGCCTGGTGGCCCGGTGCCTGCTGCTCCGCCTGGTGGCCCGGTGCCTGCTGCTCCGCCTGGTGGCCCGGTGCCTGCTGCCCCGCCTGGTGGCCCGGTGCCTGCTGCTCCGCCTGGTGATCCGGTGTCCAGCCTGATGTGCCTCTGTGCGGTGTCCAGCCCGATGTGCCTCTGTCCGGTGTCCAGCCCGATGTGCCTCTGTCCGGTGTCCAGCCCGATGTGCCTCTGTCCGGTGTCCAGCCCGATGTGCCTCTGCCCGGTGTCCAGCCCGATGTGCCACTGTCCGGTGTCCAGCCCGATGTGCCTCTGTCCGGTGTCCAGCCCGATGTGCCTCTGTCCGGTGTCCAGCCCGATGTGCCTCTGTCCGGTGTCCAGCCCGATGTGCCTCTGTCCGGTGTCCAGCCCGATGTGCCTCTGTCCGGTGTCCAGCCCGATGTGCCTCTGTCCGGTGTCCAGCCCGATGTGCCTCTGCCCGGAGTCCAGCCCGATGTGCCTCTGCCCGGAGTCCAGCCCGATGTGCCTCTAACCGGAGTCCAGCCCGATGTGCCAGTCTTTGATATCCCGCCAGTTACCAGACCCGGGCGGGGGAACATTTTTCCCAGCTAGGACTGTTTGGAGCGTCCTGAGGCCGCTCCTTGAGGGGGGGGTACTGTCAGGAATGGACTTGCCAATAATGGTGGGACTCACCTGCCTTGTGGGCTGCAGTACCAGGGCTGGCCAGCGGGTGCTCTCAGCAATCAGAGACTCAACCCTGCAGTCAGCCAAACACCTGAAGCTGATTACGGAGGTGTATTTAAGGGATGGCCAGACCTGCAGTCTGTGCCTTGGTGTGTGTTTTTCCATGGGCCCCTGTACCTTGTAACCTGCATTCCTGTTCCTGTTCCTGTCTGACTTGTTGCCGACCCTGCCTGATCCTGACCTCTGCTGACTTCTCCTGTTTGATTCCTGGCTTGTGACCCTGACCATTCTCTCCGCCTGCTCCTCCTGTACCTACCTGCCCGATAGTTATCGACCCGGACTGTCTGACTACGTTGTGCTCTATATGTGTATGTACCTGTGTATCTTTATCAGTTTAGGTTTGGGTTTGTTTCACCTTGTTGTATGTATTTGTGTTAGCTTGGGGTTTGGTGCACTGCGTTTATGTTTGTATTGTTAGTCTTAATAAATTGTCTTCTTTATACCATTTCTGAAGCTTGCGTTTCCCTTTGTCAGTCCACACACTTCTGGTCACACCTGCATCCCTGACAGTCACAATGATAGTTCAACGTAAATTTTAAATTGAATTGATTGGCATTTAACTTGTTAACAAAAGTCTTCAGAGACTCCACAGTATTAGTCCACTGAAAGCTCCTTAATATGTTTCAAAAAATCAAGAGTGTCTTGGATATAAGAAGGCAGCCATGTAAGGCATAACGAAGAAATCAATGACTTGTATAAACATGGACTCTGTGGGCACTGCATAGACAGGATATATGGCAGAAATTCACTCTAGTTAGTGCTATGGATAAGGATGGGGAAAACCTTAACTAATATATTGGTAAAACCAAATAGCTACTTAAAAAGAAATCCAATCTGTACTGGCAAGTAAAATTTCTCCCACAGTACATTCCATTTTGCTTGAGGTGATTGTAGCAGTATTAGTGCATTTGCAACAGAAACAATTGAGTACTGTCCATGATACTTTTTTTATTTGCACTAACATACAATTTTGAGGACAAGCTTTCGGGGTATGTCCCCTTCTTCAAAGTCACAACAGTACTATTACAAATTACAAAGGTTAAGCAGAATGTTAGAAGGGATTGAAAAAAAAAAAAGAAAAAGGCTACAGATAAGATACATCAAAAGCTAGGGGGGGAGGGATACTATACTCACACAGAGGGGGTCAAGCTTCAGCTAATAGATTGTCATAAAACTGTCCGATAATGGTTGAGGAATCCCATGTCCAAGTTAAGGCCGTTATCTTTTGTGTCAAATAGAATTATCATTCTAGAAGTTGCAAACAAGGATGAATTTGCACAGACATACCATCAAGGAACATAAAGAAGATGACCTCTGCACACCTGTAGGACACCATTTCACACAACCAGGCCACACAATGGAAGACCTCAATGTTTTAGTTCTGAAAGGAAAATTCAAATCCATCCAGGAAAGAAAAACATTTGAACTAAGAATGATAATTCTATTTGACACAAAAGATAACGCCTTAACTTGAACATGGGATTCCTCAACCATTATTGGACAGTTTTTATGACTATCTATTATATCTATTAGCTGAAGCTTGACCCCCTCTGTGTGAGTGTGTACCCCCCCCCCCCCCCCTAACTTTTGATGTATCTTATCTGTAGCCTTTTTCTTTTTTCTTTTTTTTTTTCAATCCCTTCTAACATTCTGCTTAAACTTTGTGATTTATAATAGTACTGTTTGGACTTTGAAGAAGGGGACATACCCCGAAAGCTTGTCCTCAAAATTGTATGTTAGTGCAAATAAAAATGTGTCACGGACAGTACTCAATTGTTTCTGTCCCACAGTACATCAAAGATAATAGTCAGATGGAGTGACGGGCGCGGCGTCAGACCCCAGCCCTTCTCACCAACTTGTGACCGAAGGACCAGCCAATCTAAGACCGCGTTGCTACTTGCGTAGCAATGCCACTCTCAGCTGCGCCCTGCACAAAGTTTTTCCAGCTCGCTGGACCAAAATCTGTGTGCCAGCAGCCTGAGAGCGATTGTTACTGGGTGAGGTTAATTACTCAATAAACCCTTCACACTGCCACCACCACCTTTTTGCAGAGAAGGAGGAAACTCACAAATCTTATCAGTAACACTATGATGTTTGAATAAGCGTCTGTATACACACTGCCACCGCAGACAAATGTATGCAGAGGGTTAAAACTCACGGTAGCCCTCTTCAGAGACAGGGATTCTTTTAGCTTGCATTAAAAGCGTTAGAGACAGTATCAACACTTTTCAGAAAATAGGATTTATTACTAAACAGGTCAAAATGGTGCAATTAAAATATTTACAGAAAAGATGTAACAAATATATATATATATATATATATATATATATATATATATAAATAGAGAGAGCAATAAACACAACAGAGAGATAAAAGAAAGAAGTTTCAGAAGATAGGATACTTGCAGAAGTCCTTGGTTTAAGCAGAGTCCAAGTGTCCCGAACAAAAGGTTGTCTTTTCTCCCAAAGATGGTTCCTGATGTTAAAAGGGAGAATCTCTTCTTCTCTCTCCAGGCATGACAGCCTTTTTTCTAGTGTCCTATCATTGGCGGGGGTGTCTACTGAAGCCAAGGGCCAATTGCCTCATTTAGGGAGGGGTGTTAGTCGGGGGACCCAGGCTATGACCAAATCCCTCCCAAGTTTATACCATGGTCAATAATCTTAAATATGTACATGTAGCATTCTAGCCACTGGCAGATTAATATGAAGAATCATATTCTGAACCTCCAGATACCAAGTATGGCATATCTTACCATTCCAGATAAAAATATATTGCTTTCTACTCTCTTGTAGACGCCACATAGGGATGTAAGGTGTCATGTACCTCGTATCAAAATGACCTATCTGAATATATGCTTTATTTTAATGTGCCCTATTCCTGTTGAAGTTTCTGAATTTGTATGAAAAGGTGATTCAAGTGGGATGTACGTTTTATGGCCACTCTGAAATAATACAATATAATGGTGTAGCGCTAAATGCATATAAATGCATATAAATAAAGACATGAAACACACCCCTACCCACAGAATAAAACACCAGCCCCAAATAGGGGATCAAGTGCTAGTGATACAAGTGATTTCTCTTAGAGGAACATATCACGCGTGAAAAAAAGTCCAAACGGTGTGTAAATCTTGGTAATAACCTAGTC